TATCAAAATGCTGCACTTGAATCAAAGGTCAGGTTATGGGGATCCTGTAAGAGTTGTGACTTGTAGATGTCATATCTCTACCAACTTGCATTCAGAGCCCTGTGCAGATTATTGCAGATTACCTCAGAACGGTGTGAGGCTGCTTAGACTATTATGGTGCTCGAAAGACCGGCTTGGACCCCCCCCCCCCCAGCAATAACGGGTGACCTGACCTTACATGGTAAGAGGATTTGAAGCTCGATTTGAAGCTCTTTTGGGGCGGGTATTCATGTGTCTAGGAGGTGTCCTGCAAGCTGGACACCTCTCACGAAATTATAGCCCAATCCTGGCATGCTTAGCTAATCCTAGCAATCTTAAACGCATTCATAGTAATAACAAAATGGTAGAATGACGACACTCCCGTACATAGGTATAGGTCGGCGAGTGTTAAGCAATTCGTGTGTCACAACATTTCAAGGGTTCCCTACATTTTTATCTTAAATTCCTTAGCTTTGCGACTGTCAACACATATAAATTATTCAACACATTCTGTGAATGATATAGTCATTCTATACGCGAAAACAAGCTTATAAGTATTCGGAATATTGGGGGGTACTGTACCCCCCAGTTAAATTATTGAGGGGGTCCGGACCCCCGCGTACCCCCCTGTGGCGGAGCCCCTGGTCACCAGCAGTTTTTTGGCTATAACTTTTGATAGAGACGTGCTAGAGCGGTGAAAACACGCCAGATGTGGTCAGCTCGACGATACGGATCGACTGATATGCAGCATGGCCCCTTCCGGTCAGGTCATGACCTTGACGTGCGGTCATTTGAAAAAAAAACTTTCAAAATGACCTTTCAAGGTCAACGTATAGTTCATTCGACGCTTCTCGACGAGAGGAACACGTTCCGCGGCGCTGTAGCTCTATTGGTTCCCGAGTTAGCCGTTGGCAGTTTCCAAAATTGTTGAAATGGACTAAAATTTACCTTTGATGACCTCTGGTGACCTGACCTTTGAACTGACCTAAAAATTGAAACTAAGTCTTTCCGTCATTATTTTTGACGCTCTTTCGATTTCCCCTTACTGGGTGTCGCTACGTGGCCCAGGAGCCGAGTTAGAGGGGGAACGTGAAAACGCCCCCCCCCCCCTGCAGCACGACACGGAAAGCACAGGCCACCAGCACGGCGCGGGTTAACTAATAGATAATAGAGAGGTCGCAAAATTGACCTGGCCATCTCAATGTAGATATTTGGTCTGAGGATTACGCAAGGCGAATGTTCGGTGAGATCAGCAGGTTTCTATGGCGCTTATTTAAGTCGACCATGCACACTCACAAGTCATCAAAAGTCGTCTTCTATACTACGCCGGCCGAAGACATTCTTAAACCTTCGTGCCACTAGATGGGACAGTCTCACGCCTCACCCATCTGGCACTCATGCAGTCATGAGTGTCTGAGATTCTAAGCACGGCCACCCCGGTCGACCAGAGGCTGCAGTCCACAGGTCACTTTGGATCAGTGAGTGAACTTGTATGTTTTTTTTTTTTTTGCAAAGAGTAAAGATTGTGCCTATCGATCAACGTATATTTTACCGTTTCGAATTCGCATGGGTGTGTGTTTTGAGATAGCATGTCCGTAGCCTGAGCTCGTTTCCTATATCGTGCTAAATATGCATAAAGATCAAGGCTTTTGATAAAAAACACCGCGCTGCAAATGGCAATAATAATTTGATTTTATGAAAAATCAGCGAAACCTGGTTCTTATACTCGTATTTTGCAACACCTAGTAAATCATGCATGAATATATGACGTTACATTTTAGACTGACCCCCTGTCACTAGCTCACAATGGCGCCCCTCTCAATGGAAAAGTCGCCCCCTCGAACACCATGGCCCCCCTTTCGCTGATTTCTGGCTACGCCACTGTCTGACAGTGAAACCCCGCTCACTTCCCCTGCGCGGGCACTGATCGCAGCTGGATGGAACAAAACATGTATAAGAAAAATGGAAATTAAAGCATGTTGTAAATCAAGCAGAACAATGAATTTTTTTCACAGGTAGGGGAGAGAGGTCATATTGCGCCACCTTAAGGATATCGGCCTATTGCGGCTAAAGTTGACCAGCTGTCATGCTTGATGATATCTCAAATTGTACCTCAGTTATTTTGGCATCAAATTACAACTCCTAATTTGTATCACACCCATAAAAATTAACAAGAGAAAAGTTTTCCGACACACCTGCAAAGGGCGCACTTACGGACTACCCCATCAAAAAGCGCCCATGCCTCTCATGTAAAAGCGCCCTATTAAAAACAACGGTTTGCCACCTAACTAAGTAGCCTATTTGAACGTGTCAGCCCATTAACCATTTATGCTGTGAAGGCTAAGGTAATGGTAAGGTGAGCGCTCTAATAATCAAAGTGTTCAATGAAATGTGTCCCAACCACCAGATGCTGTTTCTCTGGGTTGAAGAATAGGGCGCAAATAGGGTGGGCGCAATTACGAATGGAACACATTTTTCATGAGCTTCAAATATGGCGAGGACAGCGAAGCCACGGTGGTGATAAACTTTCAAAACTACCATTAAACGAGCAATTAACAATGATTATTAGTTGAATCACTATCTCTAAGATAAACCATGACACTAGCAAAGGTCGAAATAGACTGTTTCGCGTAAGAAAATAGAGGAAATCACAAAAAATGGTCTGCGAGAAAGCTGAGACACCTCACCTGCCCCCGTGGACCGGAATAAGAGCGAGTTATTGGTGGTGAAGTAAATGCACACATTCGAGCATTCATTCGAATCGAATTTTGGACAGGAGGAAGGTGTGGCGCATTTAAGAACATGGCGCAATATGACCTCTCTCCCCTATCCTGAATAACTTTAATAGCGATGTGGACAGTTAAAGTGACAAATATGACATTTGTTTAGTAGAACGAGAGCCGAACGTTCTTTCCGTGACCGGTCAGGCGGGCCGAGAGCGCCCGGTCTGCGAGTCGATAAGGGTCAATTCACGCTTCTGTGTGGCTGACTTTGGTCTATCGTGACACTGAGCTGTGTGATTGCGCCTTAGTAACCCGGTTTACATAGGCTTTGTTGCAGGCTTATATCTCCGTCCGTGATGTTGCAAAAGATGCCAATGGTGCTTAACAATTTACAAAATGATCCCCTCTAAATATTTGAAGACAACTGCAACGAAATTATCGCCAAATTAACGAGCTAGAGCCTCGTCAAATATGCTATGTAAACCGGGTTATTGTCGGCTGTGGGAGACGCATATTAATGTTTGGAAATATTGCTTCGCTAAATATTGTTCTTTTGGCGTTTAGCTTTCACTGGAACTAAAAAATACCTGTTTATGTTTTCAAGAATGTCCGGGACAGCCCGTTAAATAAAAGATTATTAAGTTTTTACAAAAACGCAATTTTCAAAAAAGGCCATCGATCGATTTTGATAAAAATTACATTTTTGGATTCAGCTCACCGTCGGCTTTCGAATGGTATATACCGTTTCTTTTGAGCCTGAGATGACCTTCCGACGAACCGTGTCCACCGAGCTGAGCCAAATCGACAGGCCTGACCCTTCTTCCCCCCCCCCCCCCTCCCAGCCGGTGTGACGCAGCGTCCGGTCAAATCGCTCTACCAGGCGACCCGAGCCGGTGTCATACGGTGTGGGTAGGCTATGCCGTTTCACTCTCGGGTCATGCGGCACAGCCTACCGGTACCAGGCGGCTGCTGCCAATGCTGACTGCTGAGCCATAGGAACCCGGTAGATAAAGAGTGGTGGACCATCAACCTGTACACGACTGTACACCCAGTAGTGGTAGACTGTGCCGCAGTACACCCAGGACTGGTAGACTGTGTCGCACTATAGGTACACCCAGTAGTGGTAGACTGTGTCGCAGTACACCCGGGACTGGTAGACTGTGCCGCAGTACACCCAGTACTGGTAGACTGTTCCGCAGTACGCCCAGGACTGGTAGACTGTGCCGCAGTACACCCAGGACTGGTAGACTGTGCCGCAGTACACCCAGGACTGGTAGACTGTGCCGCAGTACACCCAGGACTGGTAGACTGTTCCGCAGTACACCCAGGACTGGTAGACTGTGCCGCAGTACACCCAGGACTGTGGAGTGTGGAAGGGGACTGTGGAATGTCATATGCACCGCAATGCATCGACAACACTGGAACCTTTTTCTTTAGTTTTTATTGTGGGTTGATTTATCGGAATAGCGCCTCGCCATCCTGCTCCACAACCCCCTATTTGCGGATGTCTCGTGGGTCAAGGACGGCTGTTATGAAACTTTCATGGGTATGAAAGTTTCAGTCCGGCTGTTTCATATGCCCATAGATGACGGTGTTGTGCAGTTGCATTATGCATACAGTGCATACAAATGAAGATTTCTTAATATATATTACATCCAATAACATATAACATGACATAAATACACAGAGACGATGACGAAACGAAACACCATAGATCATTCATTCCAGATGTACACAGCACATCGGTCAGCAGGTTCACACAGCTTTGGAGCTTCTGCTCCTACTAACAGTCCCTGCTCAAAATTGAAGCCTGCAAGCAGCACGCTATGGCGAACAACAAACAGCGTTCCATGCACTCCGCCGGTCAGGCGAGCTGACTGGCTGCATTACAAACAGACCGATATGGGCAGACAAGGTCGCCGTCGCTACTTTCATGCAATCGCGAGTCGCCTTGCAAACGTTCACTGGCAGCTTGGGAGCACCAACCACAAACTATATACACGTAATGCTGAGGCGGTGCTGGAAATGATAGCGGCAAATTGGGGCCTGTTTACAATGGCGGATGCAGCTCGCGGCCGTATGTGTCTGATCGTATACGGTGCGAGATGTAGGGCTGTTTTCTGGTCCTCCTCGTGCCATTTTCAGAGCCGTTTGGCTCTCGTTTTGGTCCTGGCCTCGTTGGAGGTCAGAGCTCGCCGTTCTGTCATGTAAGTCTCCTCAGCTTCCGTGCCACTCGAAGTCCGGAGACGGGTCTCCAGCCTACACCAGCTGCGATCGGAGCTTGAGCGCCGCCAGCTCGGAGTCGTAGGCCGACTGGAAGGCTGTGTCCGGTGTCAGCTGCAGCGTGAGATACTCCTGCGGCAGCTTGGCGGCCTCCAGGGTGCGGGCCGGGGTGGGCGCCGGGGTCGGGGCCGCGGTCGGGGCCGCCGTCGTGCTGGAGAGCGGCGACTGGGCCGGGCCGTTCAGCAGCGTCAGCAGCTGCTGCAGCGTGATCTCTGGGTACAGCGTCTTGATCTGGGTGAACAGCGAGGCCACCGAGTCGACGGCGGTCGGCTGGGCGCTGGGCGCCGCGGCGCTGGGCACCGGCTGGGACGCCGCCGTCTGCAGGGCGGGGAGCTGAGCAGCAGGCGCGGCGGGGGCCGCCAGGGCGGGCGCCACCGGGGCCGGGGTGGCCACGGCCAGTGCCGGGGCGGCGGTGGTCACCGGCGCTGCGGGCGCCGCGGCGGGACTGGGAGCGGCCGGCGCCAGACCGAAGCCGGGCAAGGCGCTCTGCTGGGCCGCCGGCTTGGCCTCCGGCTGCTGCGCGCCCGGGAAAGAGCCGGGCGGCGGGTAGTAGGGCGGGTACGGGTAGCCGGGGTAGTAGCCCGGGTAGAAGCCCGGCTGGGAGGGTGCGCCGGACTGGGAGGGCGCTCCGCGGGGGTAGGCGCCCGGCGGTGGGTAGTAAGGGTAGTACGGCGGGGGGTACGGCGCCCCCGGGTAGTACGGGCGGCCCGGGAACGCTCCGGGCTGACCTGCCGCCGGCTCCGGCGCAGTCGGCGCCTCAGTGGAAGGTGCCACGGTCGGAGCCGGTGCCGGCGTGGTCGGGACCGTCGGGGCGGGCGGTGGCGGCGGCGGCGGCGGCTGCGGCTGGGACTGCACCGGCGTCGGCTGGGGCAGCGGAGCGCCCGGCGGCGGCGGCGCCGTGTCGAACACCTTGATGGCGGCCGCCGGCTGGACGGGCTCCACCAGGTTGGTGGACACCTCCGGGGTGGCCGGCGCCTTGGACGAGCTCGGCTTGGGCAGGAGGCGCTGGTAGAGCGACAGGCTGGGGAAGTAGCTGGAGAATGCCAGGTCACTGAGCGGGTACCCGGGGTACGGCAGACCTCCAGCGGCCGTCGGCTTCAGGCCCGGCTGCTCAGACGGCGCCGGCGGCTCCGGCGTCGGCGAGGGCTGCGGTGGCGGGACGAAGCTGGGAGCCGAGGGCTGCGGCTGCGGCGGTGGGACGTAGCTGGGGGTGGGTGGCGGCGGCGGGACGTAGCTGGGAGTGGGTGGCGGCGGCGGGCTGGTGGGCGGCACGGTCGGCACCGGCACCGGGCTGGTTGGCACGGTCGGCGGCGCGGCGGGCACGCTCGGCTGGACCGGGGCGGGCGCCGCCGACGGCGCCGGCTGGGCTGGAGTCGGTGTCGCTGTCGCTGCCGCGCTCGAACCCGTCTTTCCCGCGCTCAAGGCCTGGTTGTACTTTCCGGACTGGATGTACTGGTTGAGCAGCTGTTGGTAGTAGTTGAGCTGCTGCTCGTAGGGGTAGGAGGTGCTGGAGGCGGCGCCCGAGCCGGAGGACGGGCCAGTGGCCTGGCGCGGCACCCGCCGCAGGGAAGCCGACGCGCACTGCACCAGCACGAGCACCATCAGCGGCCGCAGCCGCGTCGACAGCCGACACCGAGCCATGTCTGCACCGGACCTCCTCACGTCGCAATGAGCCACGGCGGCTGCCGCGCTGCTTTATACCCGACTTTCCTGGTCGGCATTTTTGCGGCGCTTCGAGCTGCGCCTGGCCGTGTGTCGGCGGACCAGTCCGGTCAGGAGCTGGCCGCCAACGGCTCCGCACTCCGAGCCGGAGCCGGGAGGCCCGGTCAGGGCCAGAACTACACCTTTTTCGATCCGAATCGGCATCTGGTCAGTTAGTTTCGACAGATCTGCATTAGGAACGTCAGCTGGAGTGCGCTTTCGACAAACCACGCCTCAAACTCGGCATAGTGCAGCAGCGTGACATGGGGCATTTAATTTCGACAATGAGCGTGATTTTGACACTGGCCAATGGATTTCGGCACACGGCATGGGACTGTGACATCGGGCATTGGAAAAAGGCAAATTTCATTTTAAAATGACAATGGTCATGCAGTTTCGTTGGCCTTTTAACAAGCAGAATCGAACAAATTTCAAGCCATATTTTGTATATTGATGCATTTGTAATGCTACACCTTTTTTCAATCCGAATCGGCATCCGGTCAGTTAGTTTCGGCAGATCTGCATTAGGAACGTCAGCTTGAGTGCGCTTTCGACAAACCACGCCTCAAACTCGGCATAGTGCAGCAGCGTGACATGGAGCATTTAATGTCGGCAATGAGCGTGGTTTCGACACTGGCCAATGTATTTCAGCACACGGCATAGGACTGTGACATCGGGCATTGGAAAAAGGCAAATTTCATTTTACAAAGACAATGGTCATGCAGTTTCGTTGGCGGTATAACAAGTTAAATCGAACAAATTTCAAACCATATTTTTTACTTTGAAGCGTTTCATCATCATCATCATCACTTCGTTTATTGATCAAGGCATGCAAAAATAAAGCTGAACAAACAGATCAGACATGATGCAAAAGCACACAATGTACTTAACTCAAGGCACCATGTCTGGGTAAGGGTAAACCAAGGGATAAAACACCGGCCGCCGCCACGGCACCGGCCGCCGGGCACCAAAGTCTGATGTCGGTGTCAGCCGCCACACAACCCACCTCGGTCACCAGCCACATGAGCAAGTTTACCGCGTGCAAGAGTCTAAGTTAATCTACCGGTGTCAATCAAAAATTTTTGAAACTCGTTTCCAATGCTTACCACTAGAATTTATAGCATTTTTCCTTTTCTTAGACTTTCCTTGGATTAATGGAACACAAAATACGCCAAGGCCGTGGTTTTAAGGTCTAAACGTTTTTTTTTCTGTGGATGGAGAGTGAGTAGGCTAGCAAGCCATGTCAGAGTCGTGAGATGAGAGGATCATGCGGAGGAAGCATTTGGGTGAGTCTACCGTAACCAGTGACCGGTGAGCTGCGGCGGCTGACAAGGCGCCGGTGTAAAACTGTCCCGCTACGGATATGCAGCCAAAGCGATCGATGGTCAGCCCGTAGGGTTTCCACCTTTCCAGAGGGCAGTTTTTTTTTGTCCAGAGATACAGTTGACCATGACTGACCACCGCCGTCCTGCAAACATTGTTGCCGCTCTACGGTGACACGCCCATTTCCATCTCGGCAGACCTGAACCATCCGCGCTGGCGGTCAGCGCCACTCACAATGCGTCGATAGATCGACACAATTGAAAAAATCAATATTTTTGTTTTTTCATGCAAGAAATACGGCTAAAACATTGTCAACTTTAGATGTGTTGAAAGGAGCGAGGCCCCGAATGACCCCCGTCGCCCTTTGGATTCGCCAGTGCTTCCACATTGTCACAGAGTGACACAAGGATGATGACCTAGCATGAGGTCAGCTTGCGTGGCGGAAGCGGGTGATGTTAGGGACGAACCGGGGTTAAGGTTCCAGAGCGACTGACGAAATTAGGTGTCCGTTGCCGTATTCCAATGAACGGTTGCCGATTCGGATTGAAAAAGGTGTGGTTACTTAGCAACCAAGCGCCCATACACCTTTTTTCGATCCGAATCGGCATCTGGTCAGTTAGTTTCGGCAGATCTGCATTAGGAACGTCAGCTGGAGTGCGCTTTCGACAAACCACGCCTCAAGCTCGGCATAGTGCAGCAGCGTGACATGGGGCATTTAATGTCGACAATGAGCGTGATTTCGACACTGGCCAATGGAGTTCGGCACACGGCATAGGACTGTGACATCGGGCATTGGAAAACGGCAAATTTCTTTTTACAATGGCAATGGTCATGCAGTTTCGTTGGCGGTATAACAAGTTAAATCGAACAAATTTCAAACCATATTCTTTTACATTGATGCGTTTTCAATGCTTACCACTAGAATTTATAGCATTTTCCTTTCCTTTAGACTTCCCTTGGATTAATGGAACACAAAATACGCCAAGGCCGTGGTTTTAAGGTCTAAACGTTTTTTTTTCTTTTCTGTGAATGGAGGGTGAGTAGGCTAGCAAGCCATGTCAGAGTCGTGAGATGAGAGGATCATGCGGAGGAAGCATTTGGGTGAGTCTACCAGTGATCGGTGAGCTGCGGCGGCTGACAAGGCGCCGGTATAAAACTGTCCCGCTACGGATATGCAGCCAAAGCGATCGATATGGGTCAGCCCGTAGGGTTTCCACCTTTCCAGAGGGCAGTTTTTTTTTTGTCCAGAAGTACAGTTGACCATGACTGACACCACCGCTGTCCTGCAAACATTGTTGCCGCTCTCCGGTGACACGCCCATTCCCATCTCGGCAGACCTGAACCATCCGCGCTGGCGGTCAGCGCCACTCACAATGTGTCGACAGATCGACACAAATGAAAAAATCAATATTTTTGTTTTTCATGCAAGAAATACGGCTAAAACATTGTCAACTTCAGATGCGTTGAAAGGAGCGAGGCCCCGAATGACCCCCGTCAACCTTTGCATTCGCTAGGAGCGTGGCCCCGAATGACCCCCGTCGCCCTTTGGATTCGCCAGTGCTTCCACATTGTCACAGAGTGACGCAAGGATGGTGACCTCGAATGAGGTCAGCTGGTGTGCCGGAAGCGGGTGATGTTAGGGACGAACCGGTGTTAAGGTTCCAGAGCGACTGACGAAATTAGATGCCCATTGCCGTATTCGAATAAACGGTTGCCGATTCGGATTGAAGAAGGTGTGGTTACTTAGCAACCAAGCGCCCATATTGAGGGGCTCTTTACAGCATCGTGGAGCATTTTAACACAGATCCTTAAAATGCCTTTCCAAAAAATATTAGAGTTGCTTAATTCACTGATGAAATAAATTGACCATTGTCTAGCTAAGCTGCAAGCTGCCGAAGTAAAACGCAATATGACTAAACGGAATGCCTTTTGTCGATATTAAATGCCTCTGCCGTTGTTCAATGACCCTGGTCGAATATCAACAGATGCTATTCTAAATCCGTGAAACGTGTCGAAATGCGTGCTCCAGTGTCGAGTTGTTGGAGTGCCTGTCGAGAAAAGGTGCCCGCTGCCGTAATTGAATGAACGGATGCCGATTCGGATTGAAAAAAGGTGTATTGAGTGTCTCTTTACAGTACCGTGGAACATTTTAACGCACATTCTTAAAATGCTTTTCCGAAAAGATAAGAGTTGCTTAATTCATTGATGAGATAAATTGGCCATTGTCTAGCTTGACTGCAAGCTGCCGACGTAAAATGCAATATGACAAAACAGTATGCCCTTTGTCGATAATAAATGCCCCTGCCGTTGTTCAATGACCCTGGTCGAATATCAACAGATGCTATTCTAAATCAGCGAAAAGTGTCGAAATGCGTGCACCAGTGTCGAGTTGTTGGAGTGCCTGTCGAGATAAGGTGCCCGCTGCCGTATTTGAATGAACGGATGCCGATTCGGATTGAAAAAAGGTGTATGTAGACGAGATATTGTTCCGAGGAGGGCGTGGCTGTTGCTGCCAGTAGGTATCGACTCACTGCCGCCGTGAAGAGCACAGGCTGCCGTCCCAGGGTTTGACGCTGCGGACCTCTGGTGTGGTTGATGACTCACAAAAACAGCCCAGCCGATGTCACGCGATTTCTGAGCGATCACAGATTTCCTAGACTCGCTAGGATAGTCGAGATCCCGAAAAGACGTGAGTCGGCTTTATGTGATCGGTGAGCTCAACAGCTGTTCACATTAATATTTCGTTTGAAAACGTCCGAAAGAGCCGTTAAAGTATTTCAATCGCACATCTATCTAGCATGCTGTTGTTTTCCTTCCTTCCAGATATACGTATAGGCTGCGTACGTTTTTATGGCACAAGTTAAGCCGATTTTGCAAAATGGATTTGCTCCATCATAGTATTTAGGCATTATTTAACAATGTAAATATAGTTTGGATTCATACTGACAAGTAGTAGGGGAAAGTGGGTGTATTGCGCCCTCCTAACCAATTGCGCCCACCAACATTTCCACGAATTCAATGGCATGTTTAGTGTTCGAAAACAATATTTTCACCACCGGATGGTTCATTTTATGACCCAAGCTCTCCGACGAAGCCAATCAGCAGGGCTCATTACGCCATCAAAGATATTACGGCGTTTCCTTAGCTTTTTTTGCAGTATTTTGAACCGTTGGCTATAAAAATATGTGATACGTGTGTGATCTTCAGATTGATATTTAGAAAGAAACCCCCTTTTTCATTATATTTCACTTTAACAGTAAACTTCCTTCAGCATAGTTATGATAACTTCTACGCTTTTATTAAAAAGTACCTCAATTTTAATTGCGCCCATGGCAATTGCGCCATGGGGGCGCAAATAGAATAATGGTGTAGCTATTGTATCACGACAGTATGAATGCATCATTTACTGATTGCAATAAAGAAGGAGTTTATTGCCAGGCAGGGGAGCAGCCCGCTGTCGCCAGTCCGCAAATTATTTCTCTCGTCAAACTTATAATGTAGCTGCCATTTAGGCTGCGAACTTGTGGTGTAATTGACAAAATACGGCATTTTCAACATGGTCTCGGGCGTGAGAGGTGACAGCTATGATAAAAAGTAAAAACTGATGTCAACAAGTT